TTTTTTTTTAGTAGTATTACACCTGAAACTACCTCTTATAAGTTTGGTATAATGGTTTTACTTTAGCGACGGATATGTTAGACAATTGATAACGAATACTGTTTTATGCTTAAGTAAAGGATAAAGTTTATTGCAGTTACACTTTAAAAGGATTATGGTGATTTGCAGTTACAAAAAAGGCAAACAGCTAAATGTATATGAAGATACAAGTAGTTGTATAACAAGTTTATGATTTATCCAATAAGGTACTCAAGTTATTCATATATGAAGATACTATAACTAACCTACTATTTTATTTGTATATAAAGACACAATTACTCTTTAAGGGGTTATTAGTTTTATTGTTTATTTAATAAAGTATTCGAGTTCGTGTATATAGACATGATTAATCTTTATTAAGCATGATTAATCTTTATTAAGTTGTTGAATATAGAACTATTTTTTCACAAAGGCGATAAATGAGGCTATTTATATATTTTGAATATTATAACCTCTTGCTATCGTTCTAGCACTTTTTAGCGCTACTTAGCGCTACTTGGTGCTACTAATATTACAAGTGCTTAGTATTATCTAGCGCTTTTTGTATTAGTGTTACATTACTGCTGAATATCATATGAGCTTATAAATTATAGGCTTGATCGACCATACTCGATCAAGTTTATGTAATTGATTTTTGATCGATTAAGCAAAATTTTTTTGATCAATCATCGAGCAATAATTTTTTTGTCAAGTCAATTCACTACTGCTGTTGTAACAAAAAATTAAAATCATTAAAAGGAGAAGCCGACGTAGCCGAAATTAAAGTTTTGAAAACCGGTTGAATAGAAATTATTTTTAAAGTGTTTTAGGTGGCATAACGTAAATCACGAAAAATAGAAAAAGAGTATTTAATTCTATAAATATCATCATTGATCATGCTGCTTGAGCGTCATCATGTTCATTATTTAATTAATTGATTGAAATGCTTGAGAACACCCTTAATCAATGGGTCAAAAAGTGTCAGTAAAAAATTTTTATGTAGCAAAAAATATTTTAAGCGGGTCATGTGTGTTTGTCATTGTGATAAATATTTAAATAACAATTGTATTTTGATAAGGTTTATTACTTAAATAAAATATTTTTTATTAGTAAAAAAATATTGAATTTGTCATTTCAATTTATAAACTTTTTGATTGCAAATCATCATTTTTTTTTATACCGGCTTGAAAAAATTTTTAGAGTATTCAAAACAATCACTCAAGTAACTTTATTATAGATCTAACTCTGATCATTAACGAATTATTATTTTATTCATTACCCCCAGCTATGGTTATTATCTAATGTAGTAATATAATTTAAAAATAATAGTATAAAAGGTATTTTTAATAATAAAAAGAATGTAAAAACATACTGTTAATGGTTAGGTCTAGAAAGTTGACACCATTGTTTCTGAATTCAATAATAATCCGGTTCTTTTGTTCTTATTTGGGTTTATCTCCTTTATGACCAAATTAGAGTTAATACCTGGATCCGGATCCTAATCATAAGATCCAGATTCTAATAATAAGATCCGAATCTAATCATAGGATCCGAATCTAATCATAAGATTCAGATCCTAATAAGAAAATTCAGATCTAACCATAAAACTGCGGATTCACAGTTGTTTCATAAATTCTGGGATATTTGAAAATCTGAAATCTTTTCAGTTTCATCTTATGAATCATCTAACTTTTTGAAAATTACATCGCTATCTTTGAACTGATATTCCGAAGAGTTTAAAGAGATTATAAAAAATAAACAAATTCTTTATGTGTTCTGAAATTTATAAAAATAGTAGTATTGGTAAATCTATGATCTTATGATTGATTAATTCAAATCTACTTGTTAGAATTCAGATCTTATTATTAGATCCGAATCTTATGATTATGATCCAGATCTTATAATTAGGATCCGGATCCAAGTATTAACTATAGACCAGATCAGCATAAAGGGCGTTTACCTTTTTTTTTGTTCTAGTAAACTTCTATAGGAACCTCGGTATCAACTTCATGAGCTGGAAGGTCTGAGAGCATTGAATGAAAGAGAACCTTTGTAACAAGCTCTCTATCGTCATAAAGGTTCCTTCTTTTCATCTAATTATGTTTGGTGTCTTTTGGTAGAGTGGTACAATTTTCGACTTTGCATGTATGGATGTACTGGCATAGCCTATCGATATTTTGTTGGTAGAGGAAGTTATCAATGTACAATTGTTTCGATGAGCTCAGATTGGGTGTTTGTTCCTAAACATACATAACAATAAAAATTATAAATAGATAAATAAATAGATAAAATAAATAAATAAATAAATAGATAAATAAATAAATAAAAAGCTCATTACATTAAAAAGTTTTTATAAAAAATAAAAAAAATAAAGTCCAAAAGCAAGTACAATTGCTTACCATTTTTTAGCCTTTACTTACAGTACATATATGGCAATTAATTCAACTATTTTGCTGATAATTTCTTCATTTGATACTTCAAATTTTTTCGGGTCATAATTATCTAATTGCTTTGGTTCATGGCTATTAAATGAAATCTTTTTTACTTGATGATGAAAGACAAAGCCTAATACCGGTG